TGTGTGTGTGTATGTATATGTGTGTATATGTATATGTGTGTATATGTGTGTGTATGTATATGTGTGTGTGTGTATGTATATGTGTGTATATGTGTGTGTATGTATATGTGTGTGTGTGTATGTATATGTGTGTATATGTATGTGTATGTATATGTGTGTATGTGTATGTATATATGTATGTGTGTATATGTGTGTGTGTGTGTATATGTGTATGTATGTGTGTATGTGTGTATGTGTGTATGTGTGTATGTGTGTATGTGTGTATGTGTGTGTGTGTGTGTGTGTGTGTGTGTGTGTGTGTTCATTCATTTATTCAGATTCAGGTGTTCCAATCACCTCCATGGCGACCGGTGTATAAAATCAAGCACCTAGGCAAGCAGACTGCTTCTACAAACCTTTGTGAAAGAATGGGTCGCTCTCAGGAGTTCAAGTGAATTTGTGTTCGAAGCGTGGTACCATGATAGGTTGCCACCTGTGTTTCTTTTATCCAATTAAATCGAAAAAATAAAATCGTCCTAATTGATGAAAATTAGTTGCAGCCCTAGTTATATTATATTGGCTTGGAGTTACTCAATGCAGATTATACACTGAGTGGCCAGATTATTATGACCACCATCAGTACTTCGTTGGCCCACCTTTTGCCTTCAATACTGCGGCGATTCTTCTTGGCATTGACTCCACGAGATGTTGAAAAGGTGATGCGAGGAATCTGACACCATGCCTGATGAATAGCACTGTCTAGTTCTGTGAGATTTGATGGTTGTGGAACCAGCTGCCTTTCTTTCAACTTCGTCCCACGAATGCTCAATTGGATTGAGATCTGGTGATTGTGCGGGCCACCTAAGCAAGGTAAATTCTCCCTCATGTTCTCAAAACCACTCCTGCACAATACAAGCATGGCGCATTTGTGACGGACCCCCGTACTCAGGATGAGTATGTCCGCCGCTGTCTTCTTCCTTGCTGAGGAGATATTGCAATCTGAAGATCCTTAGCTCCCAGTTTCCCCAGTCACTAGTCGAGGCTCGAGTGTAGGTGAAACAAACTCTGGTTTATTGAGAAACTGCACAAGCTTTTATACAGCAAGTGATGAGATCAGATTATAATCCCATCACATCCACCCTCGGACAATCGGTCTGCTCAACACCACAGGGTTTCCCCTGCTAACGAGCTCCAGACAGCCATAGCAGGAGCCTGGCCAGAATGTCATTGTTCTGAGCTCCTTCAGAGAACAATGGGAGATAACGAGGGATGGTGCTGATAGTCTTTCCATAACCAGGTTACTCAGTATAACGCACTCAAACATAACTCAACACCAATATACATTTAACTCAAAACTGATCACCATGTCGTCACATAGCTCCCCCAAGCTAAAGGATGGCAGACCTGGTGAGACCCTCGACGGGCCCACTTGGGGATGTCCATGATGTTAGTCACCCTTCCAGTTCCGTTTGGCGGGATAGTCCTTCAGCATTAGCATTGTGTTTCACAGCCCGGAATTGGATAGTGAAATTGAACGGCTGTAGGGCCAGGCTCCACCGCAGCAGCCGTCCATTGTCCCCGGACACCCGGTTTAACCAAACAAGGGGGTTATGATCCGTGAGGATGGTAAATGATCACCCATACAGGTAGGGTTCTAGCTTCCGTAGGGCCCATAACAGGGCTAAACATTCTTTCTCCACGGCCGCATAAGCTACTTCCCTGGGTTAGAGTTTGCGGCTGATATAGGCAACTGGATGTTCGTGTCCATCATCTCCGGCTTGGCTCAGCACTGCTCCCAGCCCAAACATGGAGGCATCTGTGTGTACAACAAAACGTTTGGTAGGGTCAGGAGCGGCTAGTACCGGGGCCTGAACAAGTGCTTGTTTAAGCTGCTGGAACTCTGCTTCACACTCGGGGACCACAGGACCTGTCGGGGAAGACTTACGAGTCAGGTCAGTCAGGGGTTTGGCCATGGCGCTGTAATTGGAGACAAACCGCCTATAGTATCCTGCCGTACCCAGGAAAGCTAGAACTTGAGTCTTAGTACGGGGGGTGGGCCAGTTAGCTACAGCTTCCACTTTGGCCGGTTCAGGCCGCTGCTTCCCACACCCCACTCGGTGACCTAAGTACTGGACATCCCACATTCCTACGTGACATTTGTCGGGTTTAACAGTCAGTCCTGCCTTTCTAATACAGTCCAGTACAATCCCAATGTGCTGTAAGTGCTCTTCCCCATGTGTCACTATAAATGGCTATGTCATCTAGATAAGCGCAGGTAAATTCCTGCAGTCCATCTAGTAACCTATCCACCATCCGCTGGAATGTGGCCGGAGCATTTTTCATCCCAAATGGCATAACCCTAGATTGGAACAGGCCAAATGGGGTGACAAATGTGGACTTCGGCACAGTGTCCACAGCTAAGGGGATCTGCCAATACCCCTTACACAAATCTATAGTAGTGAGGAAGTTGCCCCGGGCAATTTTGTCTAGGAGCTTGTCCACCCGGGGCATGGGATAGGCGTCAGTTACTATCCTGTCATTCAGTCGCCTATAGTCCACACAATCTGGTAGTGCCATCCTTCTTTGGTACCAGAACCACTGGGGAGGCCCAGGGGCTATCTGAAGGTTCTATGACCTGAGGTCTAACATATCCCGGATCTCCTTCCGAATCCCTCCCTTGACTGCATCAGGTATCCGATACGCAGTCTGTCTCAATGGGGCTTGATCCTGCGTATCGACCCGATGCGTTGCTACAGTAGTATAGCCGGGCAGGGATGAGAACATGTCCAGGCGCTCCTGGAGCAACCTCTGGGCTTGTTCCTTGGAGTGCGGGTCAAGTCCCTCACCCAGCCAGACATCCGCTACTCCCCCTTGGGCGTCCTCCTCACCTGGCAGTCCCGGGAAAGGGAGACCATCTGTGTCATCCATAGCTGGGGCGCATATAGCGGCTACTGCTTCCTCCCTCTCATGGTATGGCTTCAACACGTTCACAAGAAAGGTTCGTTGGACCCTTACATCTGAGCATCGGGCTGCTATGTAGGTTGTATCGCAAAGCTGTTCTATGATCTTGTACGGTCCCTGCCATGCTGCCTGGAGCGTGTTCTGCTTAACCGGTTTAAGTACCTTTTGCCCTACTTGGAAGGTGCGTTCCCTGGCTGACCGCTCATACCACCTCTTCTGTGCGGCTTTGAGATTGTCCTGGACCAGGGTAGTCAACCTCTGCAGCCGGTCCCTAAACTCCATAACATAGGCCACCACAGGGATCCCTTCCTCTACCATGGCTCCCTCCCAATGTTCCCGTAGCAAGTCTAAGGGTCCCCTAACTCTCCTCCCGTATAAATAGCTCAAAGCGGGAAAACCCTGTAGCTTCTTGGGGGACCTCCCGGTACGCAAACAGGAGATGGGGAAGGTGGCGTTCCCAGTCCTTATGGGACATGGCAAATGTCCGGAGCAGCTGTTTCAGCGTGGCATTAAACCGCTCGCAGAGCCCATTGGTCTGTGGATGATATGGGGAGCTGTGCAGGGGCTTAATCCCGCAAAGCTCCCATAGTTGTTGGTCAGTTTGGCCGTGAACTGTGCCCCCTGGTCTGATAAAATTACCAGTGGAAACCCTACCCTGGTGAATATCTGCAGCAGGGCACTGACAACAGTCTCTGCTTGGGTATCCCTCAGAGCCACCGCCTCGGGATACCGAGTAGCGTAATCTACTACAGTCAGGATATATTTCATGCCCGTAGGACTAGGCTTAGCTAGGGGAACGACCAGGTCCACTGCTATACGGCTAAAGGGTTCCCCTACAATGGGCATGGGTCGTAACTTCGCCTTAGCGGAATCCCCTTTCTTCCCTACCCGCTGACATCTCACATGACCTACAGTAGTCCCGTACTTCACCTGACAGACCTGGCCAGAAAAAGTTCTGGTTCAGTGTCCGCCTGTGCCCAAGATGTCCCGCTAAGGGAATGTCATGCCCGATCAGCAGATCACACCGGTATTTCCTGGGCACTACCAACTGTCTACGAGGGATGTGTGCCACACCTCTCCCCGCTCCTCCAGTGATTCTATATAACTTTCCTTGATCCCACTCAAATCTAACGTCACCCACCCCTCCCGGGTCTCTCCCCGCCTGTCTATAGGACGCTAACGTTTCATCCTCTAATGTCTCCTTCCCAAAGTCTGCGGGCGAGTCCCACCTCAAAGAGGGGATAAGGGCGTTACAGTCAAGGTTAGTAGGTCTTACCTGGATCCACTCAGTGGTTGAGGAGCTTCTCGAACCTGTTGGCGGGTGGTAACGGGGTTTACTTCCTCTCTGGCGACCGGAGCAAAGGTGGAGGTGAGGAGTCCCAAATTGTTGCCAAGGAGAACATCTGCAGGTAAATCTTTCATTAGCCCAATCTCCATATCCTGGGCTCCGGCACCCCAGTCGAGATGTACTCTGGCTGTGGGAATGCGGTATACATGTCCTCCGGCTACCCGGACTGCCACCAAATT